TTTTTTTTCTTATAAAAGGCTAAATAAAACAAAAATATTGGTGGTAATTTTTGACTGTGTAACTTTACAAACGGCACCCCATAATCATGTGGTTCAGACGTTGGGATCAGACCAGGACCCAGGACGGGTCTGTTGGACCTACCTGAGCCCGCTCAGTGCAGATGGCCAGAGACTGCCTGAAGGAGGTGCGTTTGTTTCGCTTCACGGCGAACACCAGGTTGGTTTCAGAGCCCGCCCTCAGCGGCACCGTTGGGGACCCAGCCAGCTCCAACTTCTGGACTCCTCGCCTCACCTGCGCCGCCTTCTTACCTGAAACACAGAGAGCACCTGAAGGGTCTTATGAGTCCAGGAGACCAGGACCACCAGGTCAGCAGCCCTCCTCAGGACGTTCTGAGACATGAAGGCGTCTCAAAGCCAAACATTAAATCTTTGTAAAGTTCCTTTAATGATGAAGACTCACTGTGGCTGCTGAGCACCGTGTTGCTGTAGGTCACTGAGTCTTTAGACGAGCTGATGAAGTCCTGAGAGCTGCGCAGCTGAGAGGAGACAACAGGTTTCATCATGACACAATCATCAGGATCAACAGTGAGTCTGAGAGCTGAGCTGTCTGCAGCTGCTTCTACCATGTGCTCCAGGATGGAGGAGTTGGAGTAAACGGGCTGGTCTCGGATGGTTCCACTCAGACTGAACGGGTCGTCCATGTAGGTGTTGGAGGTGGGAAACCTGCGAGTCTGGAGCCCGCTGAGGAGGAGAGGGACCAACAGGTTTAACCTCAGGTGCATGGGAGCAGGAAACAAAGATGACTTCTGCAGAATATAACTCAAAATATCAAATTTATACTGACCAAGTTTGAAGCCGATAGGTCAAAATCCCTGGGAGGAGTTCGCAAAAGTTCAAGATGAGCGAAAGGGAAACTTAAGGAAAATTTGACCTTTGACCCAAAATGGCCGACTTCCTGTACATTTTAGGGGATACCTCCAAGAGACTTTTTTTTATATATTTTGGGGAGTTCTACCTATGTGCCGAATTCAGCTCTCTAGGACTTGCCAATTCCTCTATCTCATTTTAGGTGGCGCTGTGGAGCCGTTTGGCCACACCCACTTTTGATTCCAATGAATTCCTGCTATTTCACGCGGGGAACAACTTTTGGCCAAGTTTGGTGAGTTTTTGAATATGTTAAGGCCTCCAAAAAGCCATGGAAAGTGGCGGAAATAATAAATCTTGCGATTACAATAGGCCTCTCGCAGCACTCGCTGCTCGGGCCTAATTAGCTAAAAGCTAAACATAGCAAAATGCTAACTGGCATTATTGACTTCTTTATTATCATCAGGCCACGTTAAATAAAGTTTAAACTGTAAATTAATGTCTCTGACCCGAGAGCGGCCCCTGTAGGCTCCTCCTTCTTGTCATGGGGAACGGGACTGGAAGCTTCGTCCTGCAGCAGCTTCAGCCATCTTTGTTTTTCCTCTGAGGAGCTCACCTGCAGGTCCAACACAGAGGCTCAGTTCTGAGACCAAACCTGAAGACCAGAGTCGAGTTTCCATCTCTCACCTCCAGGACAGCCACCTGGTCACTGAGCATGCTCAGTGTGACCCTGTAGGAGCGCTCGGTGTCGGGCCCGCCTCTGACCTCACAGCCTCTGAGCTGGACAGTGTACTGAGGAGAGCGCTTCACCTCCTCCTCCTCCTCCTCCTCCTCCTCCTCGTCTCCAAACATGTTGAGGACTCCGTGCTCCACCTGACACCACAGACTCTGCCACTGACAGTTCATCAGAACGTTCAGGAAGCCTGCAGCAAAAAGTCCTCTCATCACTCTCCTTTATTTTAGTGTTTATGTGTCCAAAACCCTGCTGAACATGTGAACGCTACATCTGGAGGTGATAAACAAACAAACAAACAAACAAACAAACAAACAAACAAACAAACAAACCAACTAACCAACCAACCAACAAATCATCCAACCAACAAACAAACCAACCAACCAACAACTAACCAACCAACCAACAACTAACCAACCAAACAAACAAACAAACAAACAAACCAACATGTCAACCAACCAACCAACCAACCAACCAACCAACCAACCAACAAACAAACCATCTAACCAACCAAACAAACAAACACACAAACATTTAAACAACCAACAAACAAACATCTAAACAACCAACAAACAAACATACATACATACAAAATAAACAAACATCTAAACAACCAACAAATAAACATCCAAACAAACAAACAAACAAACATACAAAACGTCTAAACAACTAACAAACAAACATCTAAACAACCAACTGATCAACAAACAAACAACCAACCAACCAACCAACCAACCAACCAAACAAACAAACAAACAAACAAACAAACAAAGAAATATACAAAACATCTAACCAACCAAAAAACAAATATCTAAACAACCAACCAACCAACAAATAAACAAACAAACAAACAAACATCCAACCAACATCTAACCAACCAACAAACAAATCATCCAACCAACCAACCAACCAACCAAGCAAACAAACAAACATACATATCAACCAACCAACCAAACAAACAAACAAACAAACACACAAACAAACATTTAAACAACCAACAAATAAACATCTAAACAACCAACAACCAACCATCCAACCAACCAACCATCCAACCAACATACAAACATACAAAATAAACAAACAAACAAACACGCAAACAAACATTTAAACAACCAACAAACAAACATCTAAACAACCAACAAACAAACATCCAACCAACCAAACAACCAACCAACCAACATACAAACATACAAAATAAACAAACATCTAAACAACCAACAAATAAACAGCCAAACAACAAACCAACCAAACAAATATACAAAACATCTAACCAACCAACAAACAAACATCTAAACAACCAACAACCAACCAACCAACCAACCAACCAACAAACAAACAAACAAACAAACAAACAAACAAACAAACAAACAAACAAACAAACATCCAACCAACCAACATCTAACCAACCAACCCAACAAACATACAAAACATCTGAACAACCAACAAACAAACATCTAAACAACCAACCAACCAACATCTAACCAACCAACCAACAAACAAACAAATCATCCAACCAAACAAACAAACAAACAAACAAACAAACAAACAAACAAACAAACAAACAAAACATCCAACCAACCATCTAACCAACCAACCAATAAACAAAACATCCAACCAACCATCTAACCAACCAACCAATAAACAAATCATCCAACCAACCAAACAAACAAACAAACAAACAAACAAAACATCCAACCAAACATCTAACCAACCAACCAATAAACAAATCATCTAACCAATAAACACACCATCCAACCAACTGACCATCCATCCATCCATCCATCCATCCATCCATGCAGAGAAAACTCACGTAGACTCCTATAGAATCAGTAAATAAAGTTCAAATAGACTGATAGGTAAACAAAATAAAGATAAATACCTCCTTTCTTGAATAAAACTGAACCTTAAAACGTATTTATAATGGTTTCAGAAAGACTAAGAAGACCTTTAGCACCATAGAACGTTTTTTTTTTCACAGTTTCAGTACCTTTGTTTTTGCTGAGGCTGCTGAAAGCTGAAGGTTTCTCTTCATCAGAGACAGTCTGGACTGAACTGGACTGGAGACAGAGAGACAGAAAACAAACAAATATAAAATGACTTTGTTTTTGTCAAAGTATTTACAGTAGAACTCAGTGCTGTTTGGTTTTAATCATAGATTTTTATAAACTTGAAAGTGATTGTTCAAATGTAAGAGTTACAGTAATTATTAGAAGTCTAACAGGAGGAAAAATGTGTTAGCTCATCTTTAGCTACTACGAAAGGCTCATTGTTCCTGTCAGTATGAGCCATGATGCCATCAAACAAGAAGAGAACATGAAACAAGAGAGAGATATGATTGTAAAGTGAAGACGTGTTGCACAGAAAGAGGCAGACTGGATGTTTGTGTTTCTCACCCTGCAGGACAGTCGAAGCTCTGATTTATCCAGAGATGACAGACTCTGAGTCTCCTCCTCTCCTCCAGAGCTCACCTCCTCCATCACCTTCACACACAGATCAGGTTAGACACACCTGCATCACCTTCCTGTGGATGAACCACGTGCTGAGTGCTGCTCACCCTCCTCCACTCGTCAGCGTGCTCAAAGCTGCTGAAGCCCAGGACCAGAGACTCGGACCCCAGCGGGACCAGTTTGAGCCGGTGCTGGATCTTGCCGTTGCTCTTGGACTTGTAGAGGAGCTGAGAGCCGCGGAGGTTCAGCTCCAGCTGAGGCAGCAGGTCCTGAGTGCACTTATAACACTGAGACACACCAGGTTACACATTACATGTTTATTAATTAAAACATTTGGTAACACTTTACAATAAGGTACACAAAAATCTTAACTACTGAGGAACTACTCAGTAACTACTCAGGGACTTTTGAGTAGTTACTGAGTAGTTACCAGTAGTAGTTACTAACACCAAGAGTAACTACTGAGTAGTTACTGAAGACACCAAGAGTAACTACTGAGTAGTTACTAATGGCACCAAGAGTAACTACTGAGTAGTTACTAATGACACCAAGAGTAACTACTGAGTAGTTAC